TACATACATACATACATACATACATACATACATACATACATACATACATACTATACACATACATATGCCCATAAATGTATTCAAATTCTGCTTAAAAATCAAAAGGGTTCACTAAGGTGGCTGAAGTTGTTATTTTGGGTGGTTTGAAATTTCCTGAAATGTCCAGGTTTTTACGGCAAACCTTAATGTGGGGAAGCAATGGCACAGCTCTGTATTCATCCCTGAATCTCTCTCTCATCTCTCCTGCCTGGGTTCAGCGACACGAAGAGGTACTAATGGTGCAGCCATCTGAGTTCCAGGCAGCTGTTACCCTGTGCTTGCTCAGCAACCCCAAACACGCAGCTGTGAGTGATTGATTGCTCAGGGTTTATTGAGACCTGTCAGTGGGTGGCATGAGCGATGGGGACGAGCACTTAGCCTAACGAGTTGGAATTTGGAGTGCCTCAGCTTAATTCACTGCCAGCAGCGTGCAGAGAAAATGGAACAGAAAGGTCTTGTGGTGTTTTCTGCTAGCCTGGTTATTTATAAGCCGTCACAAGAAAAGTTAAAAAAAAAAATCCTCACTTCCCTGTTTCCCTTAAGGAAGAACTTCTCTCTGGAACTTTCTAGGTTATTCCATCAACAATGCGCTCTTCAGGCTAGGTAGGTTGACCCCTGGATTTAAACACATTGGCAGCTTTTCCAGACGAAAGCCAGTTTCCTAACCTGGCAAACACAGGCCACACTGAGCAGTGTGGACTAGCCTGTGTCTCACTCTGAGCCATGGGCCTCTCGTCTCAAAGCCCTGCCACATAAACCCTCAGCAAGCAGTTCCTTGACTGGGTCTCAGGTCCTTGAAAATCTGCTACCTCTCCAGTGTGTGATGCCTTTGTCTTATTTTAGCTTCCAACTATTATGTGTGACAGATTCCTAAAATATTTCAAGAGCCAGCTCAAGCTGGGCACCATGTTAATTCCAGCACCCCAAAGGCTGAATTGGTGTGGGCTGCATAGGAGACCCTTTCTAAAAAAAAAAAAAAAAAAAAAGCCAGGTCAAAATGCATCTTCTGTTCGAAGGATCAGACACACTGGAAGAGAGAGCTGTTTTTTGTTTGTTTTTTAATTCCCATTTCCCACTCTATAGGTGAAGCTCAATAGATTGAGACTTTCAGAGGTTAGCTCACCTGCCTAAAGTCTTGGAGCGGCATAGGTAGGGCAACATACAGGGGAGGTCTGTGGGATTGGAGAACAGCTCTTCTGTGGGGCTTAGGTCTGAACCATCCTCCATACAAAGGTACTAATGAAGCCCCTCTTTACACTGAGGTGACCTTACAGAGAGTGTTACAGCACTTCCTGGGGGACATCAGGGTCCTATTGTGAACAGACTAGGTCGGAACAAGTGAGTTCTGAACAGCTAATTGCCAACTTTATTATTTTGTTGTCCCACAAGGGGTGTGCTTCCTGAAGGTGCCTGAGACACCAATAAGAGCTTTGGGCAATTCACGGCTCTTTTCTGTCTCTCAGAACAGAGCAGAAGGCCAGCGTGGGGCCTCCCAGATCACTATCCATTTTCCCATCCAAACAATGTTTCTTCGATGCCCAGGGAGAGAGAACAGTGAGTTTTAAGGTCAGATATAGCCAGCAGCGTGAAGCCTAGCTGCTGTCCTTCCCCAGAAAGTGACCTTGAACATATTTAGCATTCCTCCAAACCCCAGGGTCCAACAGTTAGCAAGATCATGCATCTAGCAGTTCGCCCAGCCCCTGAGGATAAACCTAAACAGCGTCCACAACCAGTAGTCCAGGGAAAAGTTTCTCCTCCAGTGTGACCCCATTTGGGGTTTAATATCATTCTACTCAAAAGTGTTTCCCCTCTAAATAATGGATTCTAAGGTTATTTTACTCTGAAGGTTAAGAGAATGAAATATAATGGCAAAGTATCAACCAGAGAAACAGACCTTCGCCCCATCGTTGTCGCACGGCACTGCTTAAGTGACGGCCATGTGTGGCTCTTGGAGTCACTCAGGTGGACCGAGTCTTGGCTCACGCCCACCCCCTTATTCTGAGAACTGCTTGGTCCAAATAGCAAGTGTGAATGCTGAACTTTGCTGCAGTCAGGTTCAGATTACTTGACAAAGGATAAAATTATTTTTTTGTGTGCACATAGGGCCGTGATTTTGTTGTTGTTTGTCTTTGCTTAGGGTGGCTGAGGACTTTATCGTGAAAGCTAAGAGCTGGCCTGTAGTCTCCAGTTCAGTCTTCAGGAGAATGGCAGAAGACAGATATAATTATTGTCATCACTTTACACATAGGAAATCGGGGCTTAGGGAGGTTGTGTCACTTGAATAACCTCTCCAGGCAGAGCATGGTGAAACAGGAACGAAGGTTTTTTCCTGCCTGAGGTCAGAGATGGAATTCTCATTCACCATTCTGCCCCATCAATGTTTAAGATGGGCTTAAGTAACATTTTAATAGTCATTTTTATTTTCTTTTTTCTGTGTATAGCTGTTTTGCTTTCATGTATGTCTGCATACCACGTGTGTGCCTGACGTCCAAGGAGGCCAGAAGAGGGTATTGAATCCCCTGGAACTGGAGTTACAGGCAGTTGTGAACCACACCACACCGTGCAGTGCTTGGGGATTAAACTTGGGTCCTCTGGGAGAGTTATCAGCGCTCTTAACTGCTGAGCTATCTCCCCAGCACCTAACTTTTCACTTTTCTGTGCTTGAGTGTTTGACTTCAAGCGTGCGTATCACATGTCTATAGTACCCAAAGAGGCTAAAAGATGGTGCTGGACCTGGACTTACGTGCAGTTGTGAGCAGCCATGTAAAAATCAGTAAGGGCTAAGCCATCTCTCCAGCTTCCCACCCCCTGTAAAAGTAACTCTTGTGTTTCCTTCTGTCTTCAGATATCAGGGAAATCCATCTCTTGTGATCAGTGATGTCCTGAATTTTAAACAACTGGCCTTCAAAAATCAGTGTTTGTTTATTTAGAATAAATAAACAACATAGTAGAAATATTGTCACTACAGACAAAGCACCAGAGTGTCCTTAAAATCTCCATAAGGTCCCAACAATGTAACCACCTACTCCGAAGGAAAGGTTCAAACGCACTAAAGCCCACCATCAATGATGAGCCATTTCTTGGCCAGTTGGGGTGACGTTTGCATTTGGAAGGCAGAGGTGGACCTTTGTGAGTTTGAAGTCAGCCTGCTCTCCATGTCCCCAAATGTGTCAATTTCCTTTGTAGGTCAGTCATTTTTAATCCTGACTGCACATTTGAGTCACTTGTGAGCTGGAGAGTGGAGCGTTTGGGATGTGGCCAAGACAGCAGTAACTTTACCCAAGCTCAGCTCATTGTCTGTGCAGCCAGGGACTGAAAAACACCGTCCTAGGAAAAGGACACCCAAGCCATCATTCACACTCAACAGAGACGCCAGGACAGGAAGTGCTAAATGCCATGTGACTGGAATTTATCCAGTTTTAAAGTTTATAAGTTTAACCCTCTAGAGTTGACTCACTGAGCTTGTTTATGCTATTTTATTTAAACTAGTTCAACTGAAAAGTGACTTCCGGACATGGCCAGACGGCTCGGTGGGTAAGGGCACCTTGTTATCGAGTCTCCTAACCTGATTGCTAGCCCTAGGATCTAGGTGGTGAAAGATCACTTAGGTAGACCATAGCACAACCCTGAGACAAAGCCAGAGGCCAAGCATAGTGAGTGGCTCATGTATGTGACACCGATGTTCAAAAGGCTAACTCTACACTCACACATGAGTGCACACATCCAACACACACACACAAGCCAAAACTAAAATTAAAAAAAAAAAAAAAGAGTAAAACAAAAAATCTACCTCCCTCTTGGGGACATCCCCTGTGGGTGTGTAAATTTAATAAAACATTTTTTTGATGCCTCTGGGGCCTTTTCATTTAGGCTGTGAATGGTGCATAACAGAGTGTAGTTATTATTGCTATCAGTGTGTCTGATACTGTAAGATGTCTTCACCAACTCTTAAGACTGTCAATGTCCGTTGGACGTTATAATTGGCATGGGGTTGAGTCTCAAATGATTGATCCGAATGTGTTTGTTCCCAGGACAAGCTCTTCAGCATCTCTCCCCAAACAGACCTAAAGGCAGGGATCTTCTTTTCACTCGGAACAGCCTTGCACCTCTGCCGGACCAAAAATGTAAGTACTGGCGCTCCCTCCACAAGCGTAGACAAATCCGTGCACTTTCTTTCTATTTTTCAAAAGACTATCAGGTGCAAAAAAGAAGAATCCCGAAAAGGTCCTTGAAATTAGTAATGCCTACTTTTTAAAAAAGTGAAAAATAATCCTTTCTCCCCCTCAGGGAATTTTGTTTGAAATACAGACTCAGTAGCGGAAGTTTTTTTAGCTGTGTATTATTTAATATCTTTAAGACTGTACTTTAAGCTGGATGTGTTGGGACATGGCTTTAATCCCCGAACTCAGGAGGATGAGAAGTTCAAGTCCAATCTTGGATGTATAATGATGGAATTTTAGGCCTGAGGTGGAGGGTGGGGCGAAACCGGGGTCAGGGCCAGGCGAGGGAGGGGGAATAAGGTGGGGTACTGGCTCTGAAAATGAAAATCTGTGTGGAATCCAGAAATTATTTACTTGTAGCCCAAACATTCCTAAGTAGAAAAGAAGTATTTGATTTGCTTGGTTTTGTTGTATTTTGTTTGAGACAGGGTCTTACTGCATAGCCCAATCTGGCCTTAAATTCTCAATTCTTCTGCTTCATCCCCTCCTCCCCACAAATGTAGACTTACCGGTCTATCCAGCAAGCCCAGACTCTTTTTCTTTCTTTAGTTAGCTTTATTTCACAATATTTTATGTAAAACTCTCGCAAGGTAAGACGTATTCTCCTAGACCAGAAGCCTCCAAACAGAGTGAGCCCAAATATCACCTGGTCTGCTTATTATAGGGGACCCAACAACTAGAAATTATGAGCTTCTCTATCCTTACATCCATATTAGGAGGTAGGTTTTATCACTATTCCCATTAAACAGGCAGGAAAACTAAGTTCAGAAAGAACTTTCCCAGCAACCCAGCATCACAGAGGTAGCACATAGCACTCACTACTGGGAGGACAGCCTGCCACAGTAGCTTATGCCTGCAGTGACAGCTCTCAAAACGCTGAAGAAGAAAATGTGAGGCCAGCCTATGATGCCTAGCTAGTTCAAGTACAGCCTTTTTTAAAATAGTACTGTATAAAAAAAAAAGAAAGAAAGAAAGAAAGAAAGAAAGAAA